TATATTTAACTTACAGATCTCAGTTTAAATGCTTCAGTTTGTTTTGATATTATATTATGTTAGGCCTATATTATAAACCTAATAAATAATTGACTTTTTTTTTAATGGAGTCTCTTATGCTCATCAAGGATGTATTTATTTGATCGAAAATACAGGGGGAAAAAAACGTAATATTGTGAAACATTATTGCAATGTCTAATATTGGTTTCCTATTTTAATATACTTTAAAATATAATTTATTCCCGTTAAACAAAGCTGAATTTTCAGCATCATTACTCCAGTCTTCAGTGTCACATGATCTTCAGAAATCATTCTAATATGCTGATTTGCTGCTCAAGAAACATTTCTGATTATTATTAATGTTGAAAACAGTTGTGCTGCCCAATATATTTTTTTTGAACTGTGATACTTTTTTCTTTGATTCTTTGATTAATAAAAAGTTAAAAAGAACAGCATTTATTCAAAATAGAAATCTTTTCTAAAAATATAAGTATTTACTATCACTTTTTATCCATTTAACACATTCTTGCTAAATAAAAGGATTAATTTCTTTAAAAAAAAGAAAAAAAATACTGACCACAAACTTTTGAATAGTAGTGTATATTGTAACACAAAATTTCTATTTTGAATAAACACTGTTCTTTTAAACTTTTTATTTATCAAAGAATCCTGAAAAAATATCACAGGTCCCAAAAAAATATTAAGCAGCACAACTGTTTTCAACATTGATAATAAATCAGCATATTAGAATGATTTCTGAAGGATCATGTGACACTGAAGACTGGAGTAATGATGCTGAAAATTCAGCTTTGCTTCATAAGAATAAATTATATTTTAAAGTATATTTAAATAGAAAACTTTTATTTTAAATTGCAATAATATTTCACAATATTATTTTGTGAAATAATATTCAGTATTTTAATCAAATAGATGCAGCCTTGATGAGCTTAAGAATCTTCTTTAATAAACATTATTGATCCCAAACTTATTGAATGGAAGTGTATTATACTGTTAAAAAAAATAATAATAATTTCTCAGGTAACCTGAAATGTACATCATTTAGTCACGAGTCAAATTAAATACAAATAGCACATTAAAGTTAAAAGTTACACACTTTTTTTGTGTGCGCGCTGTATAGGTCTGGTATAAAGAATGTTTTTGCTCAGGTGGCCGAAATGTCCGCCCAATAGAGAAAAGTTTTGCTCGGCAAAAAAAAAATTAGATATATGGGTATACTTCACGTTCCGCGTTCCGTCTCGCGCACAGACGAGCTCGACACAAGTGCAGTGCCACTTTCGCTGTCTCAACATTCACCTCGCACATGCGCTGTTGTACGCGCAGTCTCAAAATATTGCCTGTCCGCGAGCCCTCTTGATGACGTAATGCGAATGGTGCGTGGATGCGGATGGCCGAAGTATACTTTGGCCTTTAATCTGGAAGTTTCCACCCACGGCGCCGTTATTGTGTTTTCGCAAGCGACAACGATGTACCAGCTCTAATGCAATGGCAAAAGTTTGAGCAAAACATGCTAACTGTTCTGTCTTTGGCTGCACAGACGAGCACAGAACACTATTTAGAGTCCCAGCCTCAGAGGAGACGAGAGCAGTGGATTTATTGATTTATTTACTGTATATTCGTAGCTCTATTCTGGAAAAGGGGGCGGGGAGCAGCAGCTCATTTGCATGTAAAGAGACAGGCCCGAAAAACAGCGTGTTTCTGCTTCCACTCAAAATAGGCATTTTCAAAATGATATAATAAATGATCTGTGGAGTATTTTGAGCTGAAACTTCACAGACACATTCTGGGGACACCAGAGACTTATATTACATTGTAAAAAGGGGCATAATATGTCTCCTTTAAGCATCAAATCAACATATTAGATTTCTGATGGATCATGTGACGCTGAAGACTGGAGTAATGATGCTGCAAATTCACGTTCGAAAAAATTGTAATAGTATTTCATAGGCCTGGGCGATAAAACTGTATCGATATTTATCGACGGTACACCACCTTTGATAACGATATAAAAAATGTTCGATATAGTGCACGATATATGCACGTGCTATGAGTGACGCAGACAGCACACACAAACACGAACACATGAACTGAATTGAGTGCTGTGCCTGCTTGTGATGAGGAGATTATGAATAAAAAAATGAATATTAGTCAAATTTAAAATAAACTGAATGTTAGGAGTGCGTCAGGGAGCGTCATCAGTGGCGCACGAGATGCGGTGATGATGTGAGTGACGTTGTTGCATTTTAATGTTTTGTAAGTCTAGCCCACGAGATGCGCCGCTGCTGTGTTATGCATTCAAAATATTAGAGAAATATAGAAGCGCAATGCGGAGAAGATCTTTATTAGGTGAAAACCGAAACCAAGCCATTCACACAGAACGCATATTCAGCGTATTTCTTAGACGGACAAATATGACTGCTGCATCTCTGCAAGAGATGTAGCCATGCAAAGTTAAAACAGTTTAAACTTTTAGAAAACACGTTTTATGAGTTAATTTAGACGTAACGCATGTTTTTTTACAGACCGTTATTTCCTTGCGTTGATGATTTTAAAGTGCTGCATTATTTTGCTCATTGCGCCCTCCTGTGGCCTCGGGAGACAAGCCAAAAGTTTCTTTAAGACCTATTTAATCTGCATATAAAACATTAGAAATTAGATATTTGTTTAATTTTTATTGTGTGTTTGACTGTTAAAACAAAAAAAATGTTGTTTTATCTCAATAGATTGGGTTAATTTAAAAATACAGTGGTTAAATAACAAAATTAAAAAATTCAATTGCTCTGTTTTAAAAAAGGTTATAAAAAAATGTCAATAATTATCGATACTGAACGATATGAAACATTATATCGTTGATACATTTTTTAGCTATATCGCCCAGCCCTAGTAT